CTTTTATCATCATCCTTTCCAGCAGACGACGATGATGAAGATGATGAAGGCGACGATTCCCTCTCAGCAGCCATCTGCAAAAACAAATTTAACTAAAAAAAACTATCGACAACGTTGTACTCCTAACGATTTACATTATTTGATCACTTGAAGTTTAAATCAGAATACTTATGTTTCAAAGCCTGTTGAATGTAAGGTAAGTAAGGACTGGATTAGAACCTGCCAAGTGAACAGGCAAACAATAAAAAAATTGTTCATTAGGTCCACTATCAACTAGCAGCTGGCAAAAATCTAAATCACTATTTTAATACGGTAAAACTAGACCACTCTTCAAAGTTCAAATTAGAGAACGACTGATGTAAGGAAAAATTGTGTTTGTAAAAAGTAAACATGAACCATACATGAAGATGTTATTAATCACTAACTTCTTTAGCCACAGCCAATTATAGCATTAACCATTCACCAAATTCACACAGATACAACTAACCATACACACATTCACCAGCCAACCTCACATGCATAAACCAACTAACCATCACACAGATATACATACAAACAAACAACCTACCACAAACATACATCAGCAAAATAAACTATCCACACACACAACAACCAACCACGCACATACACATACAAACAACATACGTACACTAATGACACAGTCATATATCATCCAATCAGCCACACACATATATACACCGACCAACTAAACGCATTCATCAACCAAACACGCACACACACACACACACACAAATCTAACTTACCAACTCATCACACATACTTGAATCAACCAATTAAACTCAAGCGCATACCAATCATCCAGCCCACCTTCTTATAAGCCATTTCGAAAAGCTTAAGAGATGCTTGTTGCAGATCAGATGTTGCCTTCTTGATGTTTTCTGGAGTCTCCTGGTCCTTGTTCGAAAGCATCTGCCGCACTTTTGCTATCTGTTCATTCAGCTTCTTGCACTGGTGGTCGGTTGGTGAAGTAATGCAAGCATGTAGATTAAAAAGTTAAATAACTTTGTCACTAAACATATTCACAGCACTTATAATTATAGACAATCAGGTACAACGTTGAAAATGAATAATCCATTCATTCATCAACGAATAAAATATAAGTCGATCAACCAACTTATATAATTAAAGTAATTCACGTACAAACACGCAACGAACACGCATACAAAATATCTTATAGGTAAACAAATAAAGAAAGGAGAGCAAGCAGGAACATTGCACCTCATCTGATGGCAGTTGTGCTTTGAACTCGTCCATCTTCGATTCGGTATCATGAATAATCCCCTCAGCCGAATTCACTGCCTCCACAACTTCCTATCATCAATCAATCAATCAATCAATCAATCAATCAATCAATCAATCAATCAATCAATCAATCAATCAATCAATCAATCAATCAATCAATCAATCAATCAATCAATCAATCAATCAATCAATCAATCAATCAATCAATCAATCAATCAATCAATCAATCATTTAACAAATCAATCAACCAATCAATCAACCAATTAAACAAATAAATCAACGAATCAATCAAGCAAGCAATCAATGATAAATTGATTGAACTCATTTACTTACATAAACAAACATATTTACAAGATATTATTCAATGCTATTGTGTACTTCAAAAAAAAATTTTTCCTGGTTTTTATTATTTTTATTTTGCACTATTTTCTTTTTTTGAATTTTAATTTTGGTATCGTTCTATTAATTATTTGTATGCTTCACCAACCTCTGTGTTGGTCAGAGTTTGAATTTTAAAATTACAAAAATAAATGTCAATACATGTAAAAATGATTGGAAGTAAAAACGAATGAAAGAATGGATGACAGATAACCTTCTTCCTCCTGTCCTCTTCGGCGTGCTTCTCAGCATTTCTCACCATGTTCTCAATTTCATCCTTGCTCAATCCACCAGATGACTGAATAACAACTGATGCATTTGTGATTGAATGCATTGATCAATGAATCATTGACAGAGTCAAAAAATAACATATTATGGCTCACTGCAGCTAAATCGTTTATTCAATTTTTACCAAATTTAGTTTGCATTCAAGTATTTCAAGTACTTAAATAACGGATGCCACCAGGCAACCAACATTGCATACCGTTGGTAATTAATAAAATCACAGCAACCCACAAAAAACAACTCCGATCAACAACAACCGCCATCTTGACCCAACTAACTTTGTTGCTCCTTTCCTGTGCCCTTGTCCCTGGCAGATACATGTACAATACCATTGGCATCAATGTCAAAGGTCACTTCTATTTGTGGAACCCCACGTGGTGCAGGGGGAATTCCAATCTTTAAAAAAATGTCAAAAGAGATAATTAATAGCTGAATCAGTCAATTTATTAATCTTTGCTTATTAAAAGCTGAACAGAAAAAGATCTGCACAGATCAGGCCAAACATCAAGGCAGGCAAACTTTCATCGCGAGAGACATCATCCACTGTTATCCACTTTATTATTGAAGGCAATCTCAATGATTAAATACATCACAACATTTGCAATCCTGATCATCATAATTATAATCATCATTAACGCCACCCTCAGTATTATCATCACTCTCCATCATACGAACCAGTTGGAACTGGCCGAGTAACTTGTTGTCAGAAGCCATCTCCCTCTCTCCCTGGTGCACCTTGATCTCCACCTGCGTCTGTCCATCGGCTGCCGTCGAGAAGACCTGCACCATTCATCGTTTATCACAGTTCTTATAACCATCACCCCAATTCATCACCATTGTTCATACGTTTTATTTTTTTAGAAGCACTTTTAATCAAATATCTCAAGAGAACAAATCGTCATAAATTTTCAGAAGTTTTGATGTATTTTTGAGATGTTGTAGATCGACACATTGCATAGAATGGGCAGAAACCTAATCGCATTCGAACCCGGTCATCACTGTAAGGCAGGATCAGGCACCTTTGCCATTACACTGTAGTGCCGTTTATAACCAAGAACCAAAAATTAGCCCAAAGATTAGTCTCTTATCTTATGCACCTCCATATCAATAACATACCAGTCACACACACACAACAAACCTGACTCGCATACAACATACCTGACTTTTCTTGGTTGGTATGGTAGTGTTGCGATTGATGAGTTTGGTGAACACTCCTCCAAGAGTTTCAATGCCCAGTGACAATGGAGTGACATCCAACAACAACACATCAGTAACATCTCCTGCCAGCACCCCTCCCTGGTAAATAACATAAAATGATGAATTTATTTACTTTTGAAACTGAACAACTGATTCTTACTACATTGTTGTAATTGTTCAGCTCGCAAACTAATCTATTAGCAGTTGAAGAAAACCTCAAATTTACAAAGGCATGTTTAAGCCATCTGAGAATCATATGTTCATAAGTACTGTTGGAGAAGTCAAATGCCATTTCTGTGAAGAAGAAAACAAAATAGCCACACATGTGTGGTTTAAACATCACATTCTGGTGCACACAAGGCAGAGATAGGTCTAGAGGAATGATTGACTGAGCTCCGCAAACGTCCATGATAGGATGCAATGATTTTGGAGGCGTTTTTTGGCATATAAGGGAAAGTAGATCAATGAACAGCAAGACTAGCAACAATTGAAAATAACCTGGATAGCAGCTCCAATGGCAACTGCTTCGTCTGGGTTCACTGACTTGCTTGGTGTCCTCCCGAACAAATCCTGCACAACTGACTGTACCTGAATTGTTTTAAATATAATAATGTATTTCATATTTGCGGCAAAAGAATTTATCAATTTACATTTAGAACAAACTAATTATGTATTGTAATGTTATAACTGAAATTCGACTTCAATAGACAATAAAAAGATATTTCCCATTCTGCATCCCCCTTTAACATACCTTGGGCATCCTGGTCATGCCACCAACCAGCAGGACTTCTCCAATGTCACTCTTCTTCACGTCGGCATCTTGCAGAGCTTTCTGACAGGGACCCACGGTTCGTTTGATCAGATCATCAACAAGACTCTCATATTTTGCTCTGTTTTTGTCGTTCAAATATTGAAAAATTTATCTGATATCTTAGATAAATATGGCAAATGTTTATTGTTATAATAAATTGGAAAATAACAACATCAATTTGTGCTCAAATATAACTAAAGCACACATAGCAACTGATTTGAACCAACCACTCAACTTAGTACAATAATATTTTTTAATCTGGATCATAGAGGGCTCTGTTTAAGACTTACATAGCTTGCAATTCATATCAAGGTTTTTCTTTGTCAGCTTAATTGTGCAGATCTGATAAAAGCAAAGCTGCTTGAATTATTCCTTTCTTACAAATAAATATTTGTGCCCCAAGGACCAACCACATATTTTGTATGTATGGGTAAGCACTGCATCATGTGTATGGTGTAAGAGTCTTTGAGTTTTGGACAAACTGCGTTTGAACCAGGTCATCACACAACAACAATAATGCAAGATATCGCACTTTTACTGTCTGCTCAAACTTGTTAACTAAATTGTTTTCAAACTGTACTCATTACTTTTTATTATCATTATCATCTATCTATTAACCCATCCACACATCTACCCATCGCTTCTCATCAATTGACTTCAGAAACGATGCTCATTATCCATGCATCCATTCACATATCCATGCATCCAACCATGCACATACCCATCCATCTATCAACCTACCTAGTAAGCTTCATGTTCATATGTTTGGGTCCACTGGAGTCCATGGTGAGATACGGAAGATTGATGTCGGTCTGCAGTGACGAGGAGAGCTCGATCTTTGCCTTCTCTGCTGCCTCCTTCAGGCGTTGCAGTGCCATGTTATCTTTTTTTATGTCGATTCCTTGCTGGTTGGTTAAATGTAATAATCACTATTTTATTATCATTATCACTTATAAAAACATCATTAGAGGTGATACATATCATTATATCATCAGCGTCATATTTATTATCAGTACTAGTAACTACTCATCGTTTTGAAAATGATATAACATTAAAGTTAATTGACGTGAATGAATCTGCACCTCGACTGGCATCTTAAAAATTATACTTGTCGTATTGTTGAATTGTGTTATGCAAAGATATGTTTATAATATCATAATTCGTTTTAAAAAATAAAATAGAAATAAAATAGTCGATATTGGGAATATCATTTTATGATGCTTGAATAGCAGTGATGAAATGTATTCATCAATTAAGTTCAATTTTAATTAAACGAAAGGGTTTGATTTTTATTATTATCTAAATAAATACATTTATATGCATTTTACACATTTAAAATACACGCATTGTATATATGCATGTATCTGTACACATATACATATATATATTTTTACAATATTCTATCAATTCTTCTACCGAATGTTTGGCGTTAATATGTTTGTAGTTCATTTTCGATTTTTCTCACTGAAGTTTTTTGGAGAATATTGTAAAAATTATGGTCTACTACCAATATATATATATATATATATACATATATATATTGGTAGTATATATATATATATATATATATATAATATATATATATATATTGGTAATAGACCATAATTTTTACGATATTCTATGAATTCTACAGAATGTTTGGCGTTAATATGTTTGTAGTTAGTTTTTTCGATTTTTCTCACTAAAGTTTTAGGTAGAATTTATAGAATATTGTAAAATATATACATACATATATATATATATATATATATATATATATATATATATATGTATATATATATATATATATATATATATATATATGTTAGAAGGAGAGTATATTTTATACAGTATTGTATAAAATACATACATACATTGGTTGTTGTTTGAATTTGTTGTTTTAGCTGTTATTTCTGCTTTCTTCTCGGTTAAAAGTAGTTATTTAATGTTAACAATTTCGTAAATTGCAGTAGTAAATTTTCTAGAATAAGCTGGTATTAAATTTAATTCATAAAATTTTGTTTTTTTCGTTAAATTTGATAAAGTTTTGTTTCGAATTATTGTCACGTGATTGAATAAATTATCTGCTGTTAAAAATCTGGCTGAAGCTAATTATAATATTAGATACAACAAATACAATGAGCTCGCGTTACAGCTGTACGAAGTGTGCAAAAGTAGTTCCGAGTAAGGAGTTGTTGATTTGTGCATGTTGCAAGTCTTGCGCCCACAACAAATGTGAAATTAATGATGACATTTTGAAAATTTTGAAAAATTCTAAAGGATTAAAATGGTTTTGTCACCGTTGTTTTGATTTGTCATTGGATATTGGTTCTTTAGCTAAATCAGTGGACAATACGAAAAATCAAATTGTCACTCAGCTGGACGTATTAAACGAAATATATATGAAAATAAAACTTGATATTGATAACATAAAAGTGAATATTGAACGCAATGAGTCAAGGCTAGATCAACTTGATCGTTTTGATACAACTGTGCGTGATGGACTTGAGACATGCAAAAACGAATTGAAAGAAACGTATGCTGGCATCGTTAGTAAAGGGGGTGGTGCAAATATTGACGCCATCAGGAGTGAAGTAAAATCGTTTCAGAAAGCTCTGGATGAGGCAAATGAAATTAAAGAGAGGGAATCAAACCTGCTGATGTTTCGTCTATCGGAGAGTGATGATGATCGTGGTAATGTCCTCAAGATTTTGAAGCATCTGTCGGAGGATGTTTCTGATAAAAATGTTATCAAGGTTTTTAGACTTGGAAAAAGACAAGAATCAGTAGTTAGACCTGTGTTGATAAAGTTGGACAATGTATTTCTTAGAGATTCAATAATGAGAAATGTTAAAAAATTCAAATCTTTGCAGGGTTTCTCACACGTCGGTTTAAGTCATGATTTGACAATGGACCAGAGACAGGAATATAAAACATACGTAGATAGAGCCAAAGCCATGGAAAAAGAAGAGATAAATCGGAATTTTTTGTTCAGAGTGAGAGGACAGGTCGGAAGGTGGAAGATTGTAAAATTACCTCGAAAGCAGATGTAAATAGTTCTGAAGATAATGATTGTGGTGCAAGTGATTGTAAAATTACCTCGAAAGCGGATGTAAATAGTTCTGAAGATAATGATTGTGGTGCAAGTGATTTATCTAAGACTAATTATAATGTAATGTTAGGTTTATTAAATATCAGATCGATAAATTCAAAATTTGATGCTGTCTACGATTTAATTCACAACGGGTTAGACATTTTTGTTTTGGTTGAGACCTGGCACGGATCGTCGAATAATATTTCTGTTAGATCTTCAGTTCCTCCTGGATATAACTACGTTGATTTTTTAAGAATAAATGATCCCTACCATGGTGGTTTAATTATATACTTCAGAAATGAATTTAAATTTAAAAAAATTGTCTTACCTATGTTTGGATCGTTCGAAGCACTTGCTCTAAAGTTATTTATTAGAAGAACAGATTTTATTTTATTAGCCATCTATAGACCTGGATCGGCACCAGTTACTAATTTATTTTTTGAAGAACTTTTATGTTTACTAGAAAATATTGCTTCTTTTAGTTCAAATTTAATAATTTTGGGCGACTTTAACATTCATATAGAAAAGCTGAATGATCGTCATACTTTAAATTTGTTAGAATTGTTTGACATGTTTCAGTTGAAAAACTTAATCAATCAATCAACTCACGAACGGGGAGGTATACTTGATCTGATTGTTTGTTCAGAAGATTTTTTGGTATCAGATTTAAACATTTTTCCATGTGGGATTTTGTCCGACCATAGCTTGATACAGGCTCGTATACCATTAACTTACGAACATCCTAAAACTGTCATGAAAATGGTTAGATCATGGAGATTTTTGGATGAGACCAAGCTGTTTAAACACGTGGAAAACTCACCACTATCAAGGTCATGTCTGAGTGGTGACATCAGTTTTGAATTTGATATTTTGAATACTGAACTCAAGAAATTGGCTGATGAAATTGCTCCTTATCATTTTACTAAAGTCAGATGTGATGTTGCTGCCCCTTGGTACGATTATGAATGTAAGACAATCAAAAGACTTTGTCGTAAAAAAGAAAGAAACTACAGAAAATATCAGTCTTTTGAATGCAAAGGTGACTGGATTGCTGCTCTAAAAAACAAATCTCGAATTTTTTCCCAAAAAAGGAATTATTATTGGAAGAAACTTATCAACGAAAATTGTGGATCTCCTAAAGATTTATGGAAAATAGTAAACAAAGTATTATGCAATCAAGTTACTGGTGAATCATCTAATGAAATTATAAATCTAGATTCGTCTCAGTTTGTGAAATTTTTTGACGATAAAGTTAATAGAATAAGACAGGCTACTAATGTTACCAGCAGACCGGCAATAGATCAGACAATGTCTAATATGAACTGCTCTTTTTCTGATTTCACGTTTCTTACAGAATTGGAAGTTAAAAGAGTAGTCCTCAGTTTGCCATCTAAAACATGTTTGATTGATAGTTTTCCTACGCACATTTTTAAAAAATACATTGATCTGTTCATAGTTTTTCTGACGAGTTTTATAAACTTGAGTTTAAGCAGTGGTTCTTTTCCTCTTGGGTGTAAACAAGCTATTGTTTATCCGGTTTTAAAAAAGGTGAATATGGATAGAAATGACTTGACTAGCTATAGACCAATTTCCAATATTTGTTTTATTTCTAAAGTGAT